CGTTCACACAAAAAGATCGGATTTTTTCAAAAAATCAGAACTGAGCATTAAGACCTGCAGTGTGAACATAGCCTTTGCTACAGTTGAACATTGATGCATTTCTGGCTTCTGTTGTTCTGTTGAAATTTATCAAAGTTGCACCTGTGGTGTAGCCTGACTTTTGTATTTACTTTAGTTGTTTCTCTTCAGTACTTTTCTTGATCCAGACACCCGGCGGGCCATGGGGGAGCAGGCAGTGCAGCTGGCCAAAGCTGTGAAATACTCCTCTGCTGGCACCGTGGAGTTTCTGGTGGATTCAAAGAAAAACTTCTACTTCCTGGAGATGAACACACGACTTCAGGTGAGTGTGGAAGATTTATCCAGGTTTATCAAGGTTTATCCAGGGTTATCAAGGTTTATCCAGGTTTATCAAGGTTTATCAAGGTTTATCCAGGTTTTGATCGTTCATTTGGTTTCAGGGAGGATCAGATTCAGGTCAGGGTTAAAGTTAGGGATGCACCCATCCACTTTTTTCACWTCTGATACTGATATCTGAGGTTTACTAACAGCCGTCATCAAACAGTGACTTAAACACCTTTCCTTCATATTTTTAAATGTACTGAATTGCAAATTTATTTGATCACTCAACACCAGTACAGCAACCTTAAATAACACTTTACCTCATTTATTCAGTGCAGTTAGGAGTATAACTACAGAAGAGCCTTGCGCTCACCAAATAAATAAATAAAAAAAATTGACTTCTGATCTCATAATTGTTAATTATGAGATCAGAAGTCAAAATTTTTTTATTTGGTGATTGCAAGGCTCTTCCATTTAAAACACTCTGTAAAATAAATAATAAAGGAATTGAAACAGAAAACATAATAGCTTGACTGCCCTGGTCAAACATGTAAGCTTTCAGATGGTTCAGTGCGATTAATGATTCAAAATTTCATGTAAAACTCATCACTTTGACATCTTTTATGTCCTCTAATCTGTGTTTGCACACTTTACCGACAAATATTTTCCACCCTGAGGGCATCAGTAGTTGCAAGTAGAGATATTGTTATCAGGTAGTTGCTGGAGCTTCCAGAACAGTAAAAGCCCTGTAGACACATAAGATAACATTACCAAGAGTTGCCTTTGTTGGTTTGCATGAGACCGGTGGTCAAATTGTTTAAATTTCAAAAATGTGTATTTATTACTTTGTTCTTCTTATTTTTTGTTTAAAATTTAACCCTAGGTGGAACATCCTATCACCGAATGCATTACTGGTCTGGACTTAGTGGAGCAGATGATCAGGGTGGCCAAGGGTCACCATCTGCAGCACACGCAGGAAGACGTCCCAATAAACGGCTGGGCCATCGAGAGCCGTGTCTACGCAGAGGTTTGTGTCACAAAAAGCAGCACCTGGAAGGGATGCGCTCGTTGAACAGAATGACCAAGCAGCTGACGTTAGAGGAAAATTAAACATTTAATAAATTAGATTATATCTTTACGTTACTCTTCATTTAAAGTCGTGTAAATAAAAGAGAACTTGTCGGTCTTTTGTTTTATGTTAGCAGAAGAATTATTATTTTGTTGATCAGAGATGATTTCAGGGCTGAAGCTCTGATGAAGAGTGACAGATTTCATTGGATCACAGCTGATGTCATCAAGCTTCAAACTAAACACTTTGAAATGACTCCAGCCTGTTGATTAAAGCTCTTTGTCCTGTTAGGATCCTTACAAATCCTTCGGTCTTCCCTCCATTGGACGGTTGTCTCAGTACCACGAGCCACTCGACCTCAGCAATGTAAGTGTTCCTGTTAGCAAAATACCTCATGAACCATTGGACAGGTTTTAATAAAATATCTGAAGTATTTATTGTTGGTCATTATACAGAAATCCTGTCTTAGAATAATAATGTGGTACCTGTGAAAGATTGGTTTCAAAAGTATTTAGTGTTTCAGCCTGTTTTTTTAAATGTAATTTAATAAGCACTTTTGTTCAATATACAATAATCCTGATTAGTATTTATTTCAAGTTGTTTTGTTTTTTGAATGAGGGCGAGGCTTTGACCTTTGATCTGCTCCTCTGTCAGGTCCGTGTGGACAGCGGCATCGAGGAAGGAAGTGACATCAGTATTTACTACGATCCCATGATCTCTAAGGTTAGATCCTAAAGAGAGAATAGACTTAAGATGCTTAAGTGATGTGAAAAAAGATTTCAAAATACCGTATTTTTCGGACTATAAGCCGCACCCGCCATTTTTTWAAAAAAATCCGCGAACATTAACATATAAGCCGCACCCCCAACATAAAAAAAGCAGTACACCCAAATTTGCCGTCAAAAGTGAATTCACCATCAAAACATAAAAAGCAAACCTTTAGGAATTAAAGTTCGGAGGAATACGGTTCATTTAACTGACCTTATTTTGGTAGTTTTCTTTAACAGTTTCTGGTCCAACAAAACATCTCATTCATCTTCCTCCGGCGCACTGAAACCATTGAAGTCCTCCCCTTCAGTGTCGGAGTTAAACAAGCTGAGAAAAGCTGCGTCACACAGCGGTATCTGTTGTCCTCCCGGGGTAATGCTGGCTCTGAAGCTGTGCTGGGAAAGCCCTCCCGTTCCAGCATGTGTCACTGCATGGGATTCCTTCCCCGGGGAGTGCAATGAGGAAAAAAAAAGTCAGCAGCTCTTCACACGATGTTTATCCACAAACTGGTCCTGGATTAAGCTCCAAAGTTTTTATCAGTCAGATTCCACCGTGAAAAATGTCTGTTTTATCCCCTTTTATGAGTTTTTGGCCATTGAATATCTTTAAATCGCTGCTTCGTGGTACAACAGTCGGCTCTGGAAGAGATCGCTTTTTTCTTTTTTTCTTTTTTTCTTTTCTTTTTTTGCAGCGAGTGGTTGAAGCAAATGCAGCATAAGAGCCCCCTGGTGGCTGAAGAAAAAAAAACCATGTATAAGCCGCACCGGTCTATAAGCCACATGGTTCAAAGTTCAGGAAAAAAGTCGCGGCTTATAGTCCGAAAAATACGGTACATGGTTTTCTTCTTTTTGTTGTTTTGCAGTAATTGTTGAATCTAGTTTGTGTTTTTAGTTGGTCACCTATGGAGCTACGCGAGCCGAAGCTCTTGCCAGGATGGAGGATGCTCTGGATAACTATGTGATCAGAGGTAGACCAGCAGAACACCACGGTGAACCTCAGGACAACCAACATCATCTCATTAAAACAGTTTCTTCTCCTCAGGTGTAACCCACAATATTCCACTTCTGCGGGAAATCATCACCCATCCTCGGTTTATCTCTGGGGACATCAGCACCAACTTCCTGCCTGAGGTTTACCCCGACGGCTTTAAGGGTCACCAACTGGATGCAGAGGGCCGCAGAGAGCTGCTGGCCTCAGCTGCAGCGCTCTACATCACTTCTCAGCTCCGGTCACAGAAGGTCCTGGGCAACCAGAGGTGAGCCACACCGCTGCTGTTCTCGCTGCTCAGCCTGTTTTCATACAACCATCGGCTGAAACTAAACCGCAGAAACAGAAAACTAGACTCTGTAGCTATACACTCAGGAATTTACTTCCTGTTTTTCCAGTTCAGTTTATTTATAAAGCACCAATTCACAACAAAATTCCTCTCAGGGTTGTACAGAAACATTGACAGACAATATAAATCACCATTTAGTACAAGTTATCTATTGACAAACTGTTTTCTGAAAGAGCCTTCTCTAAAGAAGCAGATTGTTTTGAATCTTTGGTGACAGTGGGAAGAAAGGACTTTTTTTTTTAACAGGAAGAGACCTCCAGCAGAACCTGAACCAGATTCGGGATGTGCAGCCATCTGCCTCGACTGATGAGGGTCAGAGAGAATAGGAAACACAGATTGACTGGTCCAGGTGTTCTATGGAGAGAAAGACGAGGATAAACATGTAGCACAAGTAAAGACAGAGTGAGGAGTTTGTCCTCTAGAAGTCTCAGTCTGTAGCAGCAGATCTGAGGGATAGCTCAGGAAACCCAAACCAACCTTAACTATAGGATTTATCAAAACAGACTTTAAAAACTTTAAAAACCTGCAACTTGCTGGGGACAAGTTGATAAAAGTAAAGCAGTAATTGAATATTTGCAGTTATTTTAGAAGATGTTCTAAATGTGTTTATTTTTTTGTTTTCAGATATTGCAGAATCATTTCAGATTAAAAAGAAGAATTTTATTCCTTTAACTAATCTACTTTAAGGTGATTTGCAGCAGAAAAAGCAGCTCTAACCTTTCACTGCTGATGGTAAAGATGAGTTTCTGTTGCAGGGTGTCTCCAGCTCCAGTGAAGAGCAGCTGCTGGCAGCTGTGTGTGGAGCTGGGAGAGGGATGCCATGATGTAGACATTACCAAAGCAGGAAACATTTATACCGTGAGTTTTTATTTTATTTTTATTTGAACAAGATGTTAGTAAGAGTTATTCATACAGATCCATTTATTGTCAAATCATTTCCTGTACATTTTGTCATTTTGGCTTTTTTTTGTAGAAATATTCACATAGTTTGGTCTATTTTTTGTTTTGCTTTGAAATTAAAATTGATGACTAAGTTAAATCAGTCTGCTGATGGTGATTTAGCAGAATTAGATATTGGTAATCATGAGGCAGTATGCTTGTGTCTGCAGGTGGAGGTAGACGGGGAGAAAGTTGAAGTGAGTGGACAGTGGAACTTGGCGTCCCCTCTGCTGGCGCTGACCATCAATGGCACTCAGAAAATATTTCAGGTAACACATACAGGGCAAAGTAAGAGCTGATCATACCTGCCAAAATAAAAACTCTTTTTTGAAATGTTTAATCTTTTTGTTTAGTGTGTTTCCAGAGAGGCTTCAGGCCTGATTGTTCTTCAGTACATGGGCACTTTGGTAAGATTGGATGTAAACACTACATTACTCTGCCAGCTGACAAATCATAACCCACGTTATTAAAACATGTCTAATAACAACAAACCAAACCTCACTAGAGAAATTGAATTTCCTGCCAAAATGACAGTGTGAATGCTTCTGGCTGAAAACTTAAGATGAAAGCTGCTGAAACTGAGCTGAAAATATTTAATAGCAAAAGTGTTAATGCGAGTTCAATTTGAAAAGCTGAAAGAAGCAAAAAAAAAAAAGCCCAACTTTGCAGAAAAACAATAAAAAGGAGCAAAAATATTGTTGAAATAGCATAAAACAGCTAAAAGCTAAGATAGCTGAATATTGCAGAAAACATCTGTAAAAAGCATAAATAGCACAACTTAGCATAAAAAGGCACAAAAAGTAGAAAAAATTAGAAGAATAGCAGAAAGAAGCAGATCTAAAGCTGAAATAGCATAAAAAGCTAAAATTAGCATAAAAATAAACTAAAGGTAGCAGCCACAAGTTGTAATTAACACCCAGATAGTGAAAGTTTAAAAAAATAGAATTANGAACCCAACATCTCCCATCAGATTGAGAACAACTGAGACACAGTCCAGACCTCAATCCAATTCACTGTAAAAGAACTGCCACAGTTTCACTGAGGAYTTATAATTATATCTTGTAAAACACCTCATGTCTTGTCCTCTTTTCTTCCAGGTCAAGTGTGTTCACTGTAAGCCTGGGGAAACGGTGGGAGAGGGAGATCTGCTKGTGGAGCTGGAATAGAACTGTCAATTTTGATGTGAGACTTCAGCTCTCCAGGACCCAGGATCCACTTTATTCAACAGACTGAATGTTTTCTGACAAGTCGTCAGTAGTTCCAGTGATCCACCAGCCAGCGATGGTGACTCTGTCTCCTCATCTCAGAATCTGATGTCCTGACTGTCATTTTTCTATTCTAGGTTTTCAGTASTTCTTTTTGATTTTTGTCACCTGCTGGTTGTATTGATTTAAACGGAGCAGTTTTTCAGCCGACTCGCAGATCCTAACTACAGTACGAGCAAAGCAAACACCCCCCAAAAAAGGAGCATGTGTAATTTCTGGATCACTGGATCATTGCACCTTYTTTGTTTAGKTTTTTTTTYCAGCCGTTGTGTCGTACGTTTGTCAATGTGTTTGGGATCATTGAGCAGCTTCATCAGAACAGAGTTTGGACCAAACTTTACTGTCAGAAAAACAGCCTCACTTTGACTCTAGAACAGCGGTGATGGATGGATTGCTTCTTAGACACCACAAACACACACTACAGTCCTGGATTTAAAAATACAAATTCAAGATAACTTTAATCAACTTTCCTAAACAGTTGATACCAGAAGTTCTTCACAGTACCACTAGAGGGATCCTGAGTACCATCACTGGTATTTGTACCACAATTTAAGAACCATGACTTTAGGATATTTTAATTTCAAAATGTTTGGAAAAGCCCTTTGACTCTTCCTAGACGGTTCTTTTATCAGACACCTTTATGCTACTGTGCAGCAAACTGCCAACAATTCCTGCTTTTATAGACGTGCTCACACTGATGATGATCAGTTAATACATCTGATCAGTTAATACATCTGATCAGCAGCACCTGGCTGCTGCTTTTACTTCTAAATCCTGTAGAAGCAGCACGAGTGGCCTTAGTTTTCTACACAGCTTTTCCATTTTGGCTTTGTTTTTGTTTAATAAACGAGGACATGACGGAATCTTTTGTGTGTTTTTGTAACGTCCTTGAGATCTTTACAAAGTGCTTAAAGCCCAGGTCCCAATGCCAGCCCAAACCTTGAATCTACCAGAGGTGTAGAGTAACCAAGGTACTTTAGAAAACAATAAGTAAGAGTAAAAATACCCTAACAGAAAATGACTTTGGTAAAAATATATATATATGTATATAATTGGATGAGAAAAGTACTTAAGTAAAAGTCATAAATTTTCACAAAAATTGGAAAAGTAAAAGTACTTTTACACACTCTAAGAAATAAACTGTTGAATTTATTTAACCAGTGGTTCCACTAAACCAAGTTGAGTAAATTACTTCAATACAGTGAAGGAAATAATTATTTGATCCTGTGCAGATTTTGTAAGTTTGTCCACTAACAAAGATATGAACAGTATAATTTTAAGAGTAGGTTAATTTTAACAGCGAGATATTGAATAACAAAAAAAAAATCCAGAATTATAGAAATTATATAAATTTATTTGCATTTTGCAGAGAAATAAGAATTTGACCTGTCAAACAAGACTTAATACTTGGTGGCAGAAACCCTTGTTCATAAGCACAGCAGTCACTTTTTATAGTTGATGATGGTCCACTCCTCGTTGCTGATCATCTCTAAACCATTAAGATTTTGAGGCTGTCACTTGGCAACTCGGAGTTTCAGCTCCATCCGTAGGTTTTTGATGGGATTAAAGTCTGGAGACTGTCTAGGCCTCTCCATGACCTTGTAATTCTCTTTGAGCCACTCCTTTGTTGCCTTGGCTGTATGTTTTGGGTCATTGTTGTGCTGAAAGACCCAGCCACAACTCATTTTTAATGTCCTGGCAGAGGGACGAAGGCTGTTATTTTATGGTACATGGCTCCATCCATTCTCCCATTGATGCAGTGAAGTAGTCCTGTGCCTTTAGCAGAGAAACACCACAAAAACATGTTTCCACCTCCATTGTTGACAGTGGGGATGGTGTTCTTTGGGTCATAGTCAACATTGCTCTTTTGTCAAACATGGCGAGTTAATGCCAAAGAGATCAGTTT